CACCCAGGCGCCCCGTCCCCTTATCTTTTATTATTGCCTAACCCACATCTAACTCAGCAGAAGTTTTTGTTAGAGGCTTGCCCACCACGTGACTTGGTTTTCATTTCATTCATATTTTACTGGCTCACATACTATATAAATAATTAAAGTATTAAATACAAATGGCATAAAGAAGTTTGGGAACAAATCAACTGTTTCTTGGTAACATATACGTCCTGGCAGAGTCCGAAGGATGCAGGCATACTGGAGAGAGATTACTCATTGAGATCTTTGATTAGGCTAGTGGACATCTGTCCATATGCTTTCAGAGGGAATGGAGAGGGTGTTGGTGAGTTCAGCATGCTGCTGCAAGCTTGTCAGGTACAGTTAAGAGACCTTCACAATGTGTACACAGTGCTTTGAGGGTGCAGTGAAGCTACTGAATATTTCTGCTTCGATCTGGTAAGAGATAGATGCCACAGAAAACATGTCTTTTGCCGTGAGATCTTAAAGGAGCTCAACAAGTTACAGAAAAAAAGCAGCTGAGGGGTTGCAGAAGTGCAGGAGGACTTGGACAGCACAGAAACGGTATGTGGAAACCAGAGAGGGATGAACTGCGCAAAATACATTTTTGCCACCCTTTCCTGATGCCCACTTGGGAAATGTAGCCAGAGAATACCTGAGAAGTGAGCAGATAGGTGTGATTTTAATCATCTGTTTAATTTTTCAGTGACGGAACTATTCACGCTGGATCATCTAACCTCTATAAACATCCGGCTCATTTTCATGTCCTTGCTAAATATTTCCAAACAGGTTCATCTACCAAAGCTCCTTCGATTGATGGGAAAGGAGGGATATCAATAAAAACAATAAAGACATCAAAAACAATAAAGACATACTCCTAGCTTGTAGGACCCAAGGAGACCCACTGCTGGGCTGAGAAGGTCAAAGGCCCACTTGTTCCTAGGCAAGCTTCACCTGTAAGCTTCTGCCAGTCAGCCTGCTGAGAAAGTATGGCTGCAGAAAAGGTGTCCTATAACACTCTAGAATGTTAGAAGGCTGACCTTTGCCCACAAAGGCTTCCTTCAGGGATCATTCATCACCTAAGTAAAATCTTGCTCCTTTTCCAATATAGACTCACACTAATCCATAGGCCCTGTTTCCTGAACTGAATCCCTTGGCCCTAAATCCAGTGTCATTACTCATTTCTTTTGCCCCCCATGGCATATTTCTCGAGCCTCTATTAGAATGGTTATTTCATTATGTCTTAATCAAGAGCTATTGGGTACATAACTGCATCTGTCAAGGGATTGTGAACTTACACTGGATCTTTACTTTCAAGATTCTTTATTTCCCTCAACAGCTTCTTTCGCTGAAGAAGTTAATCAGAAGTTTCACAGTAGGAACTTATTTGCTCAGCTACAGATAGGAAGCTACAAAAGTCTCATAGCCTGGAGGAGAAGTCTGGAGGAGAAAACTAGTTGCGTTGGTGAAACATGCTCCTAGGAATGATGGAAAGAAGAAAGAGTTTGGAGGAGTGCTAGTATTCAGATACAAGGAGATTACAGGTCTGGGAAATAAACACTCAGAGAAAGATCAGAGGAACTGGGATGGGTTAGCATGGAAACAAAAGGATTTAGGGAAATTAAACAAGGGGTTTAGTTATATACATCAAGTGATTAAGCAAAGGAAGCTTCCCAGCTGTTTTCTGGTTCTAATGAGGATGCAACTAAGGAGAATACAATACAGTTTGTCTAATTTTCTTTCACGGATTTTCAATATCAGGGACTTTTTTTGTTGTTGTTCACCATGTTTCTGTGTAACTTTATAGAAACAAAGGGAGCAATGATACTTTACAGGCCATCAGGGTTTTCATTAAGCTGGTATGTGAGAATACAGAGTGGCCAGTGTCTGGACCATTGTTGATGTGTCTGAAATCGTTTAAACATTAGTTGGTGTTGACTCTTGCCTTACAAGGGTCTCCTAGAGTGCTGTTCCCTGGTCTGTGCAGGGCCCCCTTCCAAATGTGTGCTCTTTAAGCAAATGTGTATAATGATCATGAGTAGACTAGGCCTGGGGTGGTGGTACTCCTGATGACACTTCATGGGAGTGTTGGTCTAGATGAGGAAAAGAGAAACCCAAGAATGTATTGCCCAATTATCCAGGATATGACAAAAGAAGCCTCAGAACTTCCTCCACCTGTCAGAATGAGAAGACTGGCCAGTCTCTTAGAGATTTAAGAGACTGGGAAGAAGGAATGGTCACCATCGATATTAGCTGTCCAATCAGACTGTACTGGTACGCATTGAATTCCATGGTACTTGAAAAATCACTTAGGCCATAATGTGAAACTTATTCTTCACAGCAGCATTAATTCTGTCTTAAGGAGCAAGAACTGTTAAGAAATACAGTTTTGCTATTAAAATGGGAGCAGGGAGGGCAAATTTATTTGTGTGGCTGTATGTCTGCATGTATATGAATTGGGTATTTACTTGTTGTCTGAAGACAAAACCTCATAACTGCGAAAGCAATAAGACAGACCCCTGAGTTTGCTGAGTGCAGAGAGAAATCATTTGTATCAATACTTTTCCCTACTCTGGGGCCAATCGGCACCTCCTCACCGAGGAGCTGTTGGGGGGGGGGGGGAGGAGGAGGGAGAGGATAATTTCTTTCACTGCCTCGGTAGCTTGACCTCACTTTTCCCTTGAATAAGTGACTCTGTGGTGGTGCCAGCATTCATTGCTTTCCACAACCTGAGTTGTGCAAAGAACCACAGCTATTTTCAGTAGAATCAGACCCCAGCTCAGTGGCATTCTGCCCTTTTACTTTTTTCCCAGAACTGAAAAATACAAAATGGCCTGGCACTCGACATTAAGAACAAATGCACTTCTCCCCTTCTCCTGTTCCTCCCAGAAGCATATTAAGGATAACAGCAGAGACAACATGTTATTTCTCCCCTTGCTTAAGACTCACTGAAGCACGCCATTTACTATCTGAATGATTTCCAGATCATTTTGGTTTCTCAGATGGCAATTAAAGTCAACATTCTGGTAGGCATTCCCTTTTAATGGAAGTAGAACTATCCTTTTAGATCTCAACCATAGTCAGAAAATAAATCAAAACAAAACAAAACAAAAACCCTCTCAAACACCCTAGGACTGATTAAATTAAAACAAAGGAAAATTAGCAGGGAGTCCTTCTTGATTCAATTTATGGTTTCAAATTGATGAACAGTATTCATGAATGTTTTAAGGCTCACTTTAATGCATATTTTATCAATTTTGACTACATCACAAATTTCTCTTTTAGCCATTTAAAAATAGTAAAACTGAAACTGTCTTGCCAATATTTAAAGGAATATTAGTTCTCCCCTCACATATTCTGTCTAGTCTTGTGAGAGTGGCCCATTGTGCCCCAGGACAACGGTTTCTTTGCAGTGCTGAATCTAGACACTAAAGACAGCCTCTCTTCAATGGGGTTACTACAGGGAAAAAGGAAAATTTCAGTGCATCATAGAAGGGACAATCTAATCCTCTTTGCTAGTACATCTGCTCTGGCAGTTTTGCTCTGCAAATCAAAAGACATCCCATTAATTAAAGTTCCTTTCCCTTTCATTTTTATTCAGCTCGTGAAATGTGACCAGTATTCACCAAAAAAAAAAAAAAAAGTTTCAGGCCACTTTAGTCACAAATATCCACCCAAAGGGTGAGCACTTTGATTTGTTGTCTGGTTTCCGCTTACTGTTCTTCTTCATTTTTTTTTTTTTTTTTTAAAGAAGGAGCCCTTCTCCTTTGGCAGAGTGCAATACATTCAGAGAGCTTTACAAAACAAAGCTTTCAGCTCTGAGTCAGCAACAAACTCATCTTTGTTCGTGTGGCTCTATTAAGGAAAGAAGGCCAATTTTATGCAGGTTTCTCTGGCTGGCTTCACAAAGGCATCTCTCTGTGTGCAAGCTCTCTGGCAGGAACAGCCGACTCTGAGATCATCGTTTTCAGTAATGACCAGCTGCAATGATCGGAGAAAGAAAATCATAAACTGGTTTATGTAGTGATTTTATTAAGGAGCCTGAAATATAGATTCATTCACTGGTAGGCACTTAAGCAAGGCAACTCACTGGATGTGTTTAAATGTATGGCCCAAAGCCTCCTCATTTTCCTTGCTCACTAAACAGCTTTGATTGGCTATTCGTCATTTGTCTTGAAGAGGAAGTGAAGCTTATTTGCATTTCCCTGGGTTTCCCAGGAAATTCCCAGGAATTCTGGTCCTTCATTCCATGGTATTTTCCTGTGTTTGGGATCACATTAAATTATAATCTCACACTGTGTCTCCAGGTACTGAATATTTGTTTAACAATAGAGCTAGGACACTATTAAGATTTCCAGTTTGCCCACAGAGAGATGGCTTCAGACTTCTAGGACATATGGCAGACATTTGGAATAAACCAAATAGCCTCATACTCCTAGTGCAAGCATTTAAAAAAACATCTACATAACACTATTTGTCAGAAAGTTTAACAAGATAAAGTTGGGAGATACAGAACTGCATAAAGCAATCTGTGTTAGTGCTACTTCCTTTAGAGTGTTCTATGATGGGTACATACAGATTTTGACTTAAATGAGAAATTTCCAGATTACATGAATTTGGGTGCGAAATGCTGATCTTGACAAAATGAAACTTCTCTTAACTGCGCTGCATGACTTCTCAGAATCTTAATGCTAATGTTCATTGACAGTTTTAAAAGAAAGATTCCTTTTTCTCCCCCTACCCCAATGGGAAATCTGCTTGGAAGAGTACCCCAAAGATCTCTCTTTTGGGGAAATGCTGCCCAAAATCAATCCGGTGATTGATAGCCAAAGGCTTCAAAAGCTTAGGAATCTGGATAAAGTTTGCAAGAGCGACTTCAGACATTTGTGTTAATATGGATATATCAAATATTTATAGTCAGATGTTACCTGAAACTAACTATTCAGAAATCAAATATGGTGTGAAATAGGAGAGCACTGTACCTTTTACCTTCACAGGTAAAGTCTTAGGAGATCTCTATCGGTTGCGTGACTCTCATTTCCGAGGCTTTATGACACAGAAAAAGAACGGTGCTGGACTGCAAATGAGAAGCTGGAGCTGCTAAGTACATGGACACCTAGCAAGTACCAGGCTCATGCTTCTCAGTTCATGGCTTCCAATCAGAGATGCCAGAAAACGTATCGTTGCCGTATTTAAGTGTGTATTAGGTATCTTTGTTGTTGTTTTTATAAAAGAACTGCTAGCAAAGACTTTTGTTCATTTACTCTTTTAATTAATTCAAACAAGAAGCATTTATCTGCTGCCTGCTTTGTACCAGATACATTGTAAATAAGACAGACATGTTCCCTGCTCTCCTGGAACTTACTGGCTAGAGGAGAGAAAGGAGAAATGCCATGTTTTATCATTTCTAATCACGCTATGGCTTGTTCATTTTCTCAAAGGGATCTCTGTGCATTTAGAACTGAATAGGTGGACAAAAATTACTAATATTTTGAAAAATGAATGCATTGGAACCCGAAGCTTACCTGATCCCGGGGGTCATTCTCATAGGCACTGAGCCTATGCTTTGTTGTTGCGACATCTTGCGTAAATTATGACTATACTTTGGGACAGAAATTGATGATGGTTAAAGATGGGTCTTTTGAATTATCTGCCAGAACTTCTGAGCAACTGTTCCTGTTTTTTAGTCACTGATGAGTCACAGTTCAGGGGATATACAATCAGTGTGCTAATTGATGTAAAAAAAAAAAAATGAGAGTGATTTCTACCTTCGAATCCCTGATACAAGTCTAAACTTATCTCACGTTGGAAAATAAATCCTCAAGGCACATACCTCAGTACTTGATATACTACAACACATAAAGGATCTCTCTGCACTCTTGAAGCAAGTTGGGGCTTGGTTTAAGGGTGTTTTTTCTTATAAAAGAGGGAAAGATAATGGCTGAATTCTGGAATAAGACAGTGATGGGGAAGCTGTGATAAAATGGCTCCAAGATACAATGTTTGCAAAAGTTTTAATCTACAGTGGTTGAATGTAGCCACCTCATAGGGAACTTAGATAATCTAATTAAGTAGTATAAACTAAAAAGTCAAGGACTTGGTATTAGTTCAGAACACAATTTAGAAAAATACAACCTAGGTTTCTAGCTCCTAACTGTATGTGTTTTAATGTGTGTTTCTCCATACTTTTCTATTGTTTTAATAAATAAAGCAATTATTTGTGTATTTTCTGCTGTAGCTTTCAGTGTTTGTCTCTCTGCTCTGTTTCTGTACATTTGTCTCTTTTTTCAAATCTAGATCAATCTAAGTCAATTTAAGTTCATTTGTTTAATTTAGAAAATATTTATGAAATGCCTGCTAATGACTAAGCATTAAGAATAAATGTTAAACAAGGAAAGGGTGTGTGTGTGTGTGTGTGTGTGTGTGTGTGTATGTATGTGTGTGCGTGTGTATCTGAGAAACACTACTTGAAAAACCAGAGGCAGCTTCATATCATCTATAATAGGTAATCAAAGGGGATGGAAAGAAATTTGATATTTCTTTATGTCAAACTGCAATATATACTTTAGATTTTAAAGTCTTGTGCCAAATAGGGGCGTGTGGGTGGCTCAGTTGGTTAAGCATTGACGTTAGCTCAGGTCATGATCTTGCGGTCTATGAATTCAAGCCCTGAGTCGGGCCCTGTGCTGACAGCTCAAAGCCTGGAGCCTGCTTCAGATTCTGTGTTTCCCTCTCTCTCTGCCCCTCCCCCACTCATGCTCTGTCTCTTTTTCAAAAATAAACATTAAAAAAATTTAGAAAAGAAAAATAAAGTCCTGTGCCAAATATCTAAATCACTTCAATTGTTTATAGGCATATTCTGAATATTATGAGCGTTGAAAATACCAAAATATTATAAATAATATCATATATATTATAAATAACATCGTGATTTCAGATTTTAAATATATTAATTAAAATAAGTATATTAAATATATTAAATATAAATTAAATATATTTAATTAAATACACTTATTATATTTCAAAGTTTGATCTCATATAAAATGTATCTTCTATTGCATTTATAACATAGGAGTTACAAAAGTGGATATTAAAGACAACAGCCTCTTATTTTGTTTCCTGTTTTTGTTTTATATATATGTATATATTATGATATTTCTTTTATATGATATATCAGGTAGAGACTGTTTCTTCTCTTTAGCTTTTATGGCTTCATTCCACTAGCATACTATTTATTAAGTGATCACAAGTACTTAAGGCACTAGTGCATGCAAATGGCTTCTTCCCCTCACTTACAAATCTGTGTAAATCTCTGAGAAATTACACTGTCAGTTGTTTGAAAGATTTAAAAAAGTGTTTTTAATGTTTTTTTTATTTTTGAGTGACAGAGTATGAGTGGAGGATGGGCAGAGAGAGAGGGAGACACAGAACCTGAAGCAGGCTCCAGGCTCCAAGCTGTCACCACAGAGCCCAATGCAGGACTGGAGCTCACAAACCCCGAGATCACAATCCGAGCTAAAGTTGGACACTTTGAAGTTGGACAAGGGCAGAGCCAGATGAGGGGCTTGAACCAAAAAGTGCTAGATCAAGATCTGAGCCGAAGTCAGATGCCTAACTGACTGAGCCACCCAAGTGCTCCTAGTTCACATTTTAATTGTTGAAAGAACACTTTTTTTTATTTTAAAAAAGTTTTTTTATTTTTTAGAAGTTTATTCATCTATTATTTCAGAGAGAGAGAAAAAGAGTGAGAGAAGCAAATGGGGGAGGGGCAGAGAGAGAGCGAGGGAGACACAGAATCTGAAGGAGGCTTCAGGCTCTGAGCTGTCAGCACAGAGCCCCACATGGGCCTGAACTCACAGACCGTGAGATCATGACCCAAGCTGAAGTCAGAGGCTTAACTGACTGAGCCACCCAGTTGTCCCAAGATGAAACATTTTTAAAAAGTTAAAGATCGTGGCATCTTTATTCCTCCTGCTTAGCTAAAATTCTCATCTTGAGCAAACTGCAGGTTAATTCATTCACTTGTATTTTATGTGTGGGGGGTAAGTGTGTGTGTGAGGGGGGGCTAGTACTTGTCAAGAAGTGTATTAGCAGCTAGGTTTACAACAGTAAATAAAACAGATAAACTGCCTGGCTTTGTGGAGCTTAATTCTAGTGGAGGGAAGACCTTTTATTTAATGAAAGACCGGGCAGTGCTATGTTCAAAAACGTGCTATGAAGAGAATTAAAGCCTGGGAATAGAGGACAATGGAGAGCAGATTTCTAATATGGTGCCGGAGGACGGCCTCTCTATGGAGGCCATATTTGAGGAGAGATTTAAATAAAGTCTGGGACTGAGTCTGCTTTGGGTTTTCTGGGGAAGAACATTCTAGACACAAGCCCCTGCAAGTGCAAAGCCTCCCAGGCAGAAACAGGCCAGTCGTGCTTGAATAACAGAAAGGCAGCCCACAGAAGCAGGTGAAGGGGGAAGAGGGCAGCAGGAGATGCGCTAACTATGAGGCAGCTTGCACTTAACGTATGTGAGACCAGGCGCAAAAGCAAATGGAGGCCCATGTACGACATGTCTGAATATTTAAAAACTATAAATCAAGCTAACGTACTCTTAAATAAAACACGTTTTATCTTCCTTTTTTAATCTTTATAACACTCAGGAGGCCGAGTTTAAATACAACATTCTTGGATTCATTATTCCAGGTCAGTGAATAAGGAATTGGCCCTGGTCCTCGGCCTTCCCCCTTCTCTTTCCATTTTCAGCTCTTGTTCTATATTTTGTGATATTATACATACACATGGACATCATGTTATACTTCCAGGATTCACTCTCACCCCTGCAAATGGTTCCAGGATTCACTCTCACCCCTGCCTCAGAGCTACCTCTTTGGTCTGTGTCTTGGATCACATACAGGAATAGATTGCAGACTGGGAAGTGGGCTTGCAGACCCCTGGGCAGGGCATCCTCGACTCCGGGGTCACCGGGGCATATTCTGTAAGTGGGCTGTAGACTCCAGTTGTGCGTATGCCGCTGACTTGCAGACTCCTCATCTGGTGGTGGGTGGGTAGGTGCAACTGGTAGTACATTTGGAGAGAAACCAAAACTGGGCCCTCTAAAGCACATACTCCAGACTGTGTTCTAAGGATGGTACCAGGAGGCTTTGTTGGTCTTGGCAGGGATTTGGATTCTAATGTTGACAGAGATGAGAAAACATTGAAGTGTTTTACTTTGCATTTTCAATCTGACTCTGGCAGCTGTGCGGAGAGCAGCCTGGAGTAGGTGAAGAATGGAAGGAGGGAGCCCAGGGAAGATGCTATTGTAGAGTTTTCGACAAGAGATGGTGATCTGTACAGGTTCCTATGAACACCCATTAGTTAGAGATACATAAAATGCCCTCACACTCTTCAAGGCTCTTGGAGATATAGAAAGCAGATTCTTCTGTGGGGGGAGAATAAAAGTGAGAAATGAAAGCTTTTATACTCACACAGTTTACCATTATGTTAACATGTCTTTTATTCACTGTCTTCACTAACATAATTTTACTATTCCACTATTTTTATCAATATGACTTTATTATTTCAGAAAACCCTTGCCCAAGAACTATAAATTGCAAACGTCTTATTGTTTGCTCCAGGAGCTACCTAAAAAAAATTAAATGAGTATCAGATTGCTCAACTTTTGGATAGATAGCATCAAATGACTCTTACTCTGCAAGACTCTTTGCACACTTTTTTAAAAATTTATTTTTATTTTAGGGAGAGAGTGTGTGTGAGTGGGGGACAGAGGGAGGAGGGAGAGAGAGACAGACAGAGAAAGAGAGAGAGAGAGAGAGAGAGAGAGAGAATAGTAAGCAGTCTCCACACTCAGCACGGAGCCTGATGCAGGGCTTGATCCCATGACCCTGGATCAGGACCTGAGCCAAAATCAAGACTCAGATGCTGAGCCACTCAGATGCCTCTTCAAGACTCTTTGAAACCATCCTCTAGAAACCTCATTTTACCATGTTCACCAATTCTAATTATGATCCTTACACAATATCAATAAAGTTCTCTGTATTGAAAGACTGTTAAACGAGCCTCAAAATCTCGTGTATCTCCCAACTTTGTAGTCCGCCCCCCCCCTTGGAAAGGCTATGAAAACTCTGCTAAAATAGTGTTTTCCTTTATCTCATGAGGAATAAGTTCAACTTTGTCTCATCAAGAGACTAGG